CCTTTTTACTGTTAATATATTGGTAAAATGTTTTGGGGTTCTTTTTACTATCTGCGGCGATATGCTTTTCGCACTCAGTTTTAGCTGCCCGGATTTCTAGTTTGCATTTTTTGTTACATTCTTTGTAGTTAAGGAACGCCAATGCCGTCCCTTCCGTCTTATATTTTATAAATGTCGCTCTCTTGTCCTTGACGTGTTGTTTTACAGTTTTATTAAACCATATTGGTTTAGTCTTTGATCTTTTATTTTTGCTCCCTAAAGGTATACACTTTGAAGTAGCAGTATGTACTGTGTTTTTAAAACAATCCCACATCTGGTCTGTGTTTAGGTTTTGAAATAACAACAAAAATATAGAAAGGCTTCATTAATTCACATGACATCCATGTGCACAGAATTTTGATATTGCCTCTTTCAGGTAACTTGGGGGAAAGGCTGGGGAGGATCAAAGTCTCCCAAAAACACTCAGATGATCCAACTTTTTATTAGTGATGCTTGAGGTCTTCTTATTCCCAGTTTAGGAGTTTCTCTACAGACAGCAAGCTCAAAATTTACTACGATCATTATTTTATTGATGATGATTATTTTACTACGATAATGGCAAAAGCATGCCCATTCTAGTTGTGCTGTGTTACATTTTCTAAATCATCTCATTCTTTGTGCTGTACATGACATAATACAGAGAGTCCCACTCTGTACTTCATTCTAAATGCATTACTTCATAGACTAACATCCTCTGAACTGCTCCACTCTTCACATGGTTATGGATTTGACCTACACTAGTATTTGAATATACATTCACTAAAATCTCATATAAGCTTTAACATGTTCAAGTAATTTAAAAACTATTTAACATTTTTAACATTTTTAAATCTTCAGCTTTCCATTTAAAAAATACGTGATAATACTGCTATTAAAGTATTAGCGCAGGCTCTTCCTGTTATAGGGTGACAATATTCTGCCCGTGTCTCCCTGTGTTGATGAGGATAAGGAAGGGTATCAGCTTCATCAGCAGTAAAGCATAAGCTTTATCGCTTATCTGGCGATAGACGGTAAAACGATGCCCTTCCTTATCCTCGTATTGGCCACTGAGATTAAATGCATACTTATCTATTTAATGCTTTTGTTGTTCTTGTTTGGACCCCATAAGCAAAGTCGATGAAGCCTTGATTTCCACATGACACCTTATATTATCTTTACATAAGCGGGCTGACATTTTCCCTGGCCACCGTGGCATAGACATAGGATAAGTGTACTTGTATGTCCACATTTATAACCAGAAAATTTGCATTCACACTTAGTGGCATCCGGTTCTTCGAAGCCTGTTTTAATTACCTGCAGTCTCCCATGGGATAAAGACATACTGTTACACGGAACCATACATGCTTTCCCATACGTTCTGATGAAGCAGACAAAGTTCTTGGAAAAATGTCAAAAACTACCATCTTACTACTGATCATGAGCGTATTCTGGAAGGTTTGTTGTTAATTTTGTATCCTGTTCAAATTCAAATATCACTCATGGGAGTTTAAATTTTAACTTTGTAAAATAAAATTCATGTTTTTTAGTTTTGATTAAAATCTTGTGGTATGATGTATGACACCTTAAAAGTCCCTGGGCTTGAATTTGCTTGGCTTTGAACGGTTATATATGGGAATGTGGTGTCTTGACATTTCTTAGGAATAACTTTTTTCCATTATCCTAAGGGCATTTACCTTGAGGGCAATAAGAAAGCCAGTTTGATAATGAACATGTCCCTACAGTTTAGATTAAAAAGGCTCATTATCAACACAAACCTTATAGATAAAATACCTATATGTTGGCCTTTATTATGTATTAACTTCCATGTTTCTTGCAGCCTCATTGGGTTGTAAAATGTGTGGTGTGCTCTGTCTCTAACAGCTTTTAATATGGAGAGTTTACCCCCCTCAAATAAAATATTCATGCACATAAAATATTTTACCTTGTTCTGCTCAAACTTGTAAAGAATTTTTAATGTTTCCATGGCACGGATCATAGATTGAATTGCAGTAAAGATATTCTGAAAAACAAGCTTGGTAAAGCCCTTTTTATCTTCTTCTGAATAGCCAGTACCATGGATTATTCTCATCTGTTTAATGAATGTGCTCTTCCCACTTTCTCCTGTACCTAGAGAAGACAGAACAAAATCATCCTTAGAATTTACTCATATTAAAGGCATATAATAGACAAAATATGATAGAACAGCTTCCAGTGAGCCAAAACAAAAAATGAACAGAACTGATTCAGTGATAGGATCATAAACTATTTTGTTCTCCTGTTCCACCTAATCATCGTGACACCTCTGAATTTCAACTGCCAGCATTACTCTTACAGTGAACCTTCCTTTTGCCCCGCCAACCATGTTAATTTAGTCGAAGATTTTTCATCTTTTGTTTTCATCATCTGCATGTTTTTAGTGATGAAAACTAAGTAAAAACTAAGTTAATAGGACTAAAACTATGGTGAAAATTCGACAATGTTTCATCGACAAACGAAAACAAAATGAAAATAGGAGGGACTATTGCAATTGGACTTCCGGTTCCGAGCTCTTCCTGCACAATTGAATAATAACCTACTGATCTACCTGGCGGAACACCAGCTAGCAAACACTTGCTGTGCAAATTGTACAGACATATCAACGTCAGGGAGACAGAGAAGAGCATATGTATGAAGTGTTTATTTTCAGGTAATATGTGCAATGCCATTACAGTCAATACAGTTTACATTTTGTTTTATATGTTAAAGTTGCCCTTTTTGTGAAAAAGCAATATTGTTTGTTTATGAAACCTGGTTTTATTTCATTTTAAGTTAAATGAAGATGTTCTATATAACAACGGCTAAATCTGTGTCTGTATTCAAATCTTAACAGCATAAGTAATAACAGGTTAAAAGAGGTTTACCCCGGGAGTATATGAGTTTGAAAATTCTAGAGAATTGCTCAAATAATGCATTACAATTTAAATGAACTCATTAGATTTTAGTCGACTGAATCTAAATAAGCCTATTATTGGGTTGGATTGCTCCCAATCATTAGTATGTCTGGGCAGCTGTCAGTGAACACATGGCGCAGAATTTGGTACCTGCGAATATTTCGATAGGACATTTACAAATGCATCCTTAGCACTGGGCATCTTGCTGACGAACACTAAAATGCAAAAATATGGGTATGAAGCAGTTAAAGGGTTTTAAGTTAAAGTATTGAACTTAAGGAAGTCTAGCTGGTTGCTATGAGCAAAAAAAAAAAAGGCTTCCAGAGGACGTTGAAAATGAGGTCACTGCTATTATATGGCTCTAATGAAATGTACATTTTAGATCGTCCCCATCACCGAGTTATTAAACCATTTATGCCTCAAAGAAAAGGAATGCAATGCTAGACTGCATAGTGTATTCAACGCAATGCATGTTCCCAATCCACAATAAAAGAATTTGTAAAAAAATAATTAAAAAAACAAACTTGTAAATGTGTTGTAAAAAAAAAAAAATAAAGCCTTACTTTGAGTAATTAATTTTTGTGTCTAACTTCATCAGCTCCTTTTTTCATTTCTACTTTGCCTGGGCATAGAGGAGAGGATCTAAGCAAGCGGCACACGTCACAGCCAACGTGCCCCACTAATGGGAAACTGAAACTAGATTTCCCAAGGTTCCATGGAAATTCACTGCCATCTCAGTGAGTGGTGCGTTAGGACTGTCCGTTGTTTGTAGGAGAGTCACAACAGGGTGCTGTGAAGATCACAACTGCCCAGAGAAGGAAGAATGTCACTGTACTGTCAAGGAGGAGATTGGGCAACCAGGAGCCATGTCTCCATAGTCAGAAAACACAGGTCCCCCATTACACATACAGAATAACCAAGTAACAACAAGAATCAGGGGCATGTTGGAAGGAGGGAAAAAAAGGGAAGGGAAGAACGCACTTTAACAAAAGACCAGGTAGGGAAGTTCCTTTATGATGATAGACTCACCTGGCTGGAGTTTACCTTTAATAATGTAGTAAATCCTAAATGTCAACAGATCACTTTTCAAAAGTTGCTGCTTGGCATTTACAGTGAACTTCAATGCAGGATCTTCTTTGGACAACCATGTCACTGCCTGGTGATGTGGACACTTCCCAGTGACTGTCGATTGGCAGGTCTTCACGCATCCTGAAGACTTCAGAGGCAGTCTGGTGACTTTACAGTGAAAGCCAACAACAAAACCTGTCAGCCCAAACTGCAGTGCTGGTCACTGATTTCCACCGGCGGAAGAGGCGCCAGTGATAGTGTCA